GCTCTGTGTGTCGTGGACTCTTCTCAGACTTGACAAATACTCGGGCGTAATGACGTTCGATTCGAATGTTAAAATATATCATTGTTACTCAATGTTCTGTAATACATCGTTGTTCTGACACTTCTGACAATATTTGTAACGCATCGTCGTTACACCGCTTCTGACACCATTTGTAACACACTTCTACTCTGACATGGCGTGGGATGTTATTTCTTATGCTGTGGGTTATGTCAGTAGTATGGTTACTTATATTAACGCTTCAGGATGCCGACTCAGTCTTCTTCATTCTTTCACTTATTATTCAGGCACGTAAAGAAGAATACTCAATTCTAGTTAAAACTCACAGTACTTTATTGAACACACTTTATATTGATAATATTAATAAATAATCCTTGCATGAATGTAATTTCACATATATATCTATAGTATTCCATCATTAAGAAAGACACGTCCTCAGACTACTATAACTCAGCTCAACTGTCTAATCTCACAGCTCTCACGCTACTGACTGACTCTACTGCTCTGCGCTCAGCTCTCTACTATCTCAGTCAACTCATACTTTATTACCAGCAAAGCGTGCAAAACAACCGCTCTGACAAAAACATAATTTTACTCTCCAAAAACGTGGAGTTCACATTTGTTCTCAAAAATACAATCCACATTGATTGTCTCTCCCCGTGGAAAAACCTGGTGAACACACTCACTGTCCACTCATGCTACCTCTCTGTTTACATGTGAAAACATAGTCCGTTACAATTACAAGAGAAACAAAGAAAACTATTTATAAAACTGATCAGACCAGTTGTAACATATGCAAGTGAAACTTGGACGCTAAAAAAAACAGCAGAAAAACTATTAAACACATGGGAGAGGAAAGTTCTCAGGAAAATATATGGGCCAACCAAGGATGAATATGGATGGAGAATACGAACCAACCAGGAGTTATACAGTCTATATCAGGATCCCACGATAGTGGCAGAAATAAAAAGAGACAGGCTACGCTGGGCAGGACACCTAGAGAGAATGCCAAATGACAGAGGAACGAAGAGGGTGTATCACCAATACCCCAGAGGAAAAAGGCTCAAAGGCAGACCTAGGCTTAGGTGGATAGATGATGTAGAAAAAGATCTACAGCAGCTGAAAGTCCAAGCATGGAAAAGAAAGGAAGTAGTGAGGCAGGCCAAAGCCCTATATGGGCTGTAGTGCCACAGGGATGGAAAAAACGTGATCACATCACACTACTACTTCATTGGCTCCCTGTACAAGCACGGATTGACTTCAAACTCTCTATTCTCTGCCACAACTTTTTCTCGAATTCCTCCCCTTCCTATCTAATTCTAACCGAACTTCTCTCCGTCTATTCACCCCTTCGACAGTTTCGCTCCTCCGCAGACGCACATATTCTTTCTGTCCCCAAGACTTGCACAAAAACATACTGTGAACGATTGTTCTCTTTCTGTGCCCCCAAACAATATCCATTACACATCCGCAATATACCGACTAAATTAACTGCACTAAAACACATCTTTTAAAACTCTACTATCCTGACTGATTCCCACATCTGACTGAAAAACGGTTCTACTGCGTGTCGTCTATGGCTTGACATGTAAATAGTTTTAAATATACATTTGTTTTGTTTTATTTAATTAATGTATGTTAATTAATTTTTTAAGTTTTTTTATTATGTTTGTTAAATTGTATGTACGTACAGTGTGGTGAGCCCAGCCCTGGGGTACCAGAAAACCACTTAAAATAATAGTTATTTAATACAATTTAAGTTTTATCATATCAGCACTGGTACTTGTCTTTAAGTTTAAGTACCAGGTACTACTAGGTATTTTAATTATCAAGTACTAGTACTGAGTAATACAAATCAAAGTAATCTTACAGAGATTATTATGTTAATAAGTTTAATGAAAATATATTACAGAACTTCAGCCAAAAGTACGTGGATGGCTTCTGGCATCAGTTGATGGACATACAGTTGGAATGATTCCTGCCAATTACGTCACTGTTTTGGGAAAACGCAAGGGCTCAAAGCAGGCAAATCCAGAGTGTCCTCCAATAGTTCACACTACAAGTAGTAGTAGTAGCGTTTTAGGACAATCATTTCCCAGCAATACTCCACATGTTTCAAAGTTACCAGATTCAGAACTAGACACTATCTACACATCTTCTTCAGATCAAAGACAGATATCTTGTTCACAATCAGAAATGAATAACCAAGTTGCTGCAGACATTCTGAACGACTGGGATCAGTGAAACAACTTTTGCCTTGAACTTGAACATAATTAAAAATTACTGTGATAAATTTGTGTTGGTGAAATAAGTAAATCATTATTATTTTTACCAGCTTTGGATTAGCCTATACTATGTCACTATAACTATAAGACTAAGACCAGATTTACACTTGAAGTTAAAGTCATGAGGGTTACCACACTCTTGCAAACTACTGCATGGATTTTAAATTCTACTAAAAACCATCCATAAATCAGCATCAGCTAAATTAAAAGAAACGGATTTTTAAGTTTTAGTTTACTTAAAGAAACAGATTACCATTTCCAAAGCTTGTCCAAGGTGTCAAATAAAATATTTGATTGATTGCATAAATTATAAACCATGATTTACCTTAAAATATATGTAACTGTTAGGATGTAATGTTATTAGGACTGATTGCAAGCATGCTCAGAGAATTATGTTTTTTAGTTTAGCATGTTTTTCATGTATGTCATCCAGTTGGTTATAGTAAACACATTGCTCCAACACCAGACACATTTCTATTCTTCAACAAGTTTAACCCACAAACTGTGGTCGGCCGAAAAAATCTGCCGACATTATCATTCTGTACTGTGGCGGCTGAAAAATCGGCTGATAAAAAATATGGTCCGACAGCAACTTCCAATCCAATATTTAACCGGAATTATAGCCACTCCCTTTTAATTTATTAATAATCAAATCATCTTCTGGTTCAAGCTGTTTCATGATAACTTGAAAATAAATACTTCTTAATCAGAGTTTTATGATTCATATCGCTGTTTTTTTAAAGTTAAAATGGTTGAACCCATGTCTGGGCCTTCAGTGCAAGAACTAATAGAAATATGTTTGAAAGCTTTTTAGGAGAGGTTTTAAGTGATACTGATGATGATTTTAACATTCCACATGACGATATCAGTTGAGATTATTCTTCTCGTGAATTTTATACTAGTAGTCTTAGTGATACCGGTACTGAGGCTACTGTTAGACTTCGAGCAAGGCCCGGGGGTTGGGCAAGGACTGACTGAATTTTAGTAATAGAAGCTACAGATTATAGTTCAGAACTAATAAATTTTATAGTTTAACAACCCAAATCAGTTCCACATTAAATGTTTACTAGTCAATAATAACTATTTTGCCTGAGATTTTGTATTTTAAGATAAGATTCTTTTATTTTTATTGATCCAAATAAATGGAAATGTTTTTTCATTGCATTATACATCTTAAGCGCATAAATATATAAACCCTTTATTTAAAAATGGCGAAAGTTGAGATCTGTGATCTGGCATTTCCCCCTCTTGAAATCAACAACCATTTCCTTTGTTTTTGAGACATTCAGCTGGAGAAAATTTTCATCGCACCAATTGATAAAGCTTGTAAAACTTGTAACTAAATTGCGGTACATGCCTTCTCCTTCAGATATTAAGCCAACAATGTTGGTATCATCAGCAAATTTTAAGATTGGAACGGTGTCACTTGATCTTTGAATATCATTGGTACCGGTATATATAATATACAGGAGAGAAAACGCAGCCTTGTGGTGCCCCTGTGGTTATTTCTCTGGTTAGAGATAATTGGCTATTTACTTAGACATATTGTGGTCAATTTGTTAAAAAGTGTACAGTATCCAAACCTGAATATTTTAATTGACACCTAACAAGGAAAGTTTCTTTATCATAAGGTGTGGTGGGATAGTGTTAAATGCTGATGAGAAGTCTAAGAAAAGCACTCTGGCATATGTTTTAGGACTGTCTAGCCTTAGGTGATGATAAAGTCTCTCCAACAATACCAGTAGTAAGATTGCATCCTCTGTGCTTCTGGCAGGTTTGTAAGCAAATTGGTGGGGGTTAAGTTTTTGCTGTACTTCATTCAACATTTCGTTCACTTTCAGAATTATTTTCTCAAAACATTTCATTACTATAGACTTATAGCGGTAAGTGCAACAGGTTGTAAGTCGTTGTAGCTCGTTAACTTATTTTTCTTTGGAATTGATATGATTTCTTAAGTTTTCCAAAATGCTGGTACTGGTAATTGTGTGAGTTACTTGGTTTTAGCAGTGGTCCCAGTTTCTTATATAAATGACCTAAAATTACTCTCAGAGGTTTAATTGCAATCAAAACCTTGGCAAACTATACATTTTCTTAAAGATAAATGAATTGGCTACAACATTTAGTTGTGTTTTAAGTGAATCTATTAAAATTAATGATTTTATGAGCACTTAAGTCATTTTTTTCTTCTTGAGAACTCCAAGGTCAAGGACACTGAGCACAATTTTTTTATTGGTAATGGTAGGCAATATGACCAACTTTATCCCCATCCATTTACCTTTCTAAAAATATATACTTATAGTATAGGGGTATTGTATAAATATTTCTGCCATTTAATGCAATTTCAAATGGCACTCAAAACGTTCCACACCACAGAATGATGCAGGCCACAATTCCTGGGTTAATTTCACACTTAAAGTTTTTCCATGAGTAAGGTGCTGTTGAAGTTGAAGTGGAGTCATCCAATATTGTAATATTTACTAATATATAACTTATAAGGTATATAAAAAGTGAAATTTTGATTTGGTTCTAGTTCTTGAGTGCTTGCTTTTTGCAAAAGTCTAATTTATGTTGTTCTTTAATTTAATTAATCTTAAACATTCTAAATAATGTAAAAAAAAAAAAAAAAAACATTTTGAAAAAAATATAAAAAAAAAATAAAAAATGTGCTTGCTTTTTGAAAAAGTATAATTTATGTTTTTCTTTAATTTAATTAATCTTAAACATTCTAAAAAATGTAAAAAAAAAAAAAAAAAAAGACTTTGGAAAAACTTGAAAATGAGGCTAAGTAAGGGAATTTAGGAGCTGCTTTATAAAATTAAAAGGCTTGCAAAGATCTTGAACTGCACCACATGAATATTCCTGTTTAAAATATTGATACCATTACCACTGATTTGAAATTACAAAGCTTGGAAAAGTATTCAAGACCAACCACTCAAATTATGGTCATAGGACTTGTTATGGCACATGTAAATTAATGAGCTTGAATGAAATATGACTATATGTCCACTTCACATTAACTTTGCAAGAAAATTACATGTGAAACACTGAGAAATAAACTTTTAATCAGCATACATTTTGTTTCACATAATCGATTTATAATTGATATGTAATAGTAAGAGCATGAAATAGCATGAAGCAAATATCCAAGTTAAAATCTATTTTTGATTACTGTTACTATTACACTACTGAACATTTTCTGTCTCCAAAATTACCCATGATATTATAAAATCTGAGCAGAAATTTTATATAAAGTGGGTATTTGGTATTGCTGCACTCTGAAATCCTTAGTGAAGGATACTGGTAAAACTGTTAAAATCAATAATCAAATATCTAGTCATACAAAAAACAACTCCATAAATATAATGTTTCAACCAGAATAAGAAGTAATCCAAATGCAAAAACATCATTCCATCATTTTAATTGATTCTTTTTTTTTTTAAGCTATTACAAAACAAACTCTGGGAACTCAAAAGTAACATCTTTGCCTGTAAGCTTCTTGTACACTGAGGTAAATGTATCCAGCTGCAAAGCAAATTAAAAAAAAAAAAGTTTAACTTAATTGTGAATAAAAAATTACATGATCTATCAACTAATGACCATACACACATATATATCCAAAACCTATAAATCACAGTTCACCACTTCCTAAGTTTTAATTGTTATGGAAAACATAAACGTGGTGGTTAACATACCGGTAGTTATTATAAAGGGGACTTATGATAGGAAACATTAACAAGGGATCAGATTATAACAATCCATCATGAGAGATGAGCCTCTCGGGTTAATGTGTTGGATCAAAGTCAATACAGACAGTGTCTAATCAAGAAAACCCTGACCAGTCAAAATCCGCTTGGCTTATCAAGAGCTTCCTCCACATAGACCCAATTCAGAGAATGGATTAATACTCTCATCATTTCTGCCAAACTTGATATCTACCTAACTACAAACATGAATTGAAGGATGCTAAAACCCCAAATTCTGTCACTGAGGACCTTAGTGCTAAAAGTCACAAAATACACATCTTTAGATACCATGATCAAGTTTTTAAAAAATTTTCTTCTATAAAATATGATTATTTTCATATTTTGTCTTGTTTATTGAAGGGACTTGTGCACATTTTAATGTGTTCAAATTTCTGCAGTACACCTCGCTAAACCAGAGGAGAAAAGGCCAGTTTAGATTTTGACAAAAAATGTGACTTTAAGCACTAGGGTCTTCAATTTATCAACATGTAAAATGCTATGGATCTCTTATGTACTTCTTAAAAAAAAAAACCTGAAATTAATTTAATTAATTCTTACAATCAACAGACAATCCTTAAACTTGAGCTAGTTCAAAGCATAAGATGTTAGGACAATCTGATTAGAAAAATTAAGATATACCTTATGTTCCACATTGTTTTGCTGACTTTTATCAAGTTGGACCTTAATTATCTTAGAACCATCCAACTTAACGCGAACTCGCTTGCCAAAAATCTCCGCTGGATAGCACAGATCCTCAAGAATAGAATCATGAACTGCAGTCAGAGTGCGGCTGGAGAGAAAATGTTAGAAAATCAAAACTTAACACCTAAGAAGCACACTGACATTGAGTCATCTCAATGACATTAAAAAAAAATAAGTTATATAAATGAATAAAATTCAGCATCAAATTTTAAAACTCAAAATACCTTCTTGGTCTCTTTTGCTTATTCTTTCTCTTGCTCTTTCTTGTTGGTTTTGGCAAAATTCTTCTCTGAAAACCAAATAAAATTCTATTGAAATACTTCATGCTCTATGGTTATACCTTGTAAATTTGGTGCAGCACCAACTTTTGACACAATGTCCTCAGACTAGTGGGAATCAAAATAAAGGTCCCCTAAACACAACAATTCACCTATAGCATCCATCATGTGTTAATCATTAACAAATCTACTCCCTCCCAGATCTTCCTTTAACCCACGAACTGTGGGTTGCCTCTTTCTGTACTGTGTAGGCCAATAAAAATTGTACTGAAAGAACAACTTCCTGTCCAATATTTTACACTAAATAAAACTACTTCCTTTTAATAAATAAACTTCCATTTTTCGCTCTTCTGTGTCCTTTTTTAAAAACTTTGGAGTTATTTTTTTTACAACAATCTTCATCAAACAAATGTGTGTAAGTAGATTTTCACCAAATGGATGAGGCCATAGCTGGATCATCTAGCTGACAAAATAAATCAGAGTGGAATTTGTTTGATAATTCTTATTAGTTATTTCCGATCACACACAGACAATGATAATTCCAATTATAGTTCTAGAGGGTCAGAGAGCGAAAGTCGGGACGATTTAGACCTACGCCTAGAACGAGTAGGCGTTGCAGCAACAATATCACTCGTTCAAAACTATGTTGCAGATGATTTTATACCAACAAAAAATAACTGGATGTTGTTCTATATGTTATTTCATTTTATATATTTATTTGGCAACTATTTAAATTAAATTATGTTATCCGTTTCATGCTATTTAGTAATGTTTTATTGTTTATGTTGTGCTTTGTTACTAGAACGTAATTATAGGTATCAGAAGGATTTTTTTTAAAAATCTATTAACTAAAACATATACAAATAATACAATTTTTAGAAAGATATATACAAATGTTATAACATTATATAAACATTATAATAATATGCCTTTAAAAAATTGTAGTTTGAGGTACTTGAAAATTTTAAATTTTCATTATTTTCTTTATTCTTGGTCACTCAAAGGTCTGCGAGTATAAAATATTTAAAAAAACAGCAAGTATCTGCATGTGGAAAATCACATTTTTCAAAGGCACCCCAAAGCTCTAAATTGCTAACACAGTACAGAAACATAACACACAGTTCCTGGGTTAACAGCTAGGATTACTTCCGAACAAAATTTAGAACCAGACAAAATCTTGAGTAAACCCCCCCCCCCCCCCCCCCAACATTCTAGTACTCTTTTAAAAAGTCATTCATGCTGAACTTTATGGTTTTACTTCCATCAGCATATTTGGAAGGTCTTCAAAACTAAAGTTGTGCATCCATGTTGCAGAATAAGCAACATGGTTATTAGATGCTACTCCGACTCCAGATAAATTTTTTAAATTATTAATAATGTTGGCAAACATTTCAACAGATGATCAGATTGTAACAATCCATCATGAGAGATGAGCCTCTCGGGTTTATGTGTTGGATCAAAGTCAATGCAGACAATGTCTAATCAAGAAAACCCTGACCAGTCAAAGTAAGCTTGGCTTATCTAGAGCTTCCTCCACATAGACCCAATTCAGAGAATGGATTAAAACTTTCATCATGTCGCTAAACTTGTATCACACTATAAGATTCTTTTATTGATCCAAATAAATGGAAATGTTTTTTGATTGCATTATACATTTTCAGCTAAAAAATAAAACAATTTGAACACAAGACATTTATAATAAATTATTTAAAACAGCCATTCAGTGAGTTCTATATCTACTAACATGTAAGCAAGGATGCAAAATTTCTCAATGCCACAGAAATGCTGGATTTACAGTAATTAAATATGAACCATGAAGGGGGGACTGATAGTCAAAATCTATATTAAATAAGAATTGCATTTGCTCTATAAATAGGTAAAGCAATAAAACATATTAAGGCATGTATAGGTATTTTTGCAACAAATGTGCACCGATTCACAGCTTCCTCTTTGTTAGAATGAACAATGATAAAAGAATGTGGTTGTAAAGAAAGCCAATTTTCCTTAAATGATTCCCTAGATAAATGTTGCTCTAGACAAAGTATGTGCTTGCAGCAACTATTTTTAATAAAGTTTAATTCGGGGGATCATGTTTAAGAGGATATTGTCACCAAATATGAAGGCTTTGGAAAATTGGGGAGGGGAAAAAAAATGATTTTTACCGGAATGTACAGTTGACTATCATAAGCTCTAAAGGTCAATGATGACCTAGATTGTTAGAAAATAATACCCATCATGAGAGTGCCACTCTGGGTTCTATGTTCAACATTCAGATTACCGGGACAATATGAAAATCAGCCAGCACAAGTTCATATAGACATAGAAATTTGGTCAGAAAGGGGTTTGAGATCCCCCCCAACCACCCTTTTCAAACAAATGTTAAAATAATGTACACACCTGTGCAATGAAAACTACAGGCTTGCCGTTAAACTTCTTTTCAAGCTCACGAACAAGACGAGTTTGTATCTTTTGGTAAGCTTTCAATTGAGGCACAGGTACAAAGATTATAATTGCCTTCTTGCCCTGCACATCAATTTCCTGTAAATACAATCAAACATGGTATAATTACTAGTAGCCATATCAAAAATTTCATCAAAAAAATACTGTTTAATTTTACTTTTTTTTAAAAATAAATCTACATAGAATAGAAAATATAGGCCTAAATATGCCACAACAGTGACAATTTGCATCTACGGACTATTTACCTTGGCTCCTGTGATAGAGAGTTCATACAGAGAAGCTTTTAAATCAGAGTTCATCTCAAGCTCCAGGAGAGCCTGTAGGAAGGCACAAATAGATGTTAAAAATTATTAATTAAGGTAAAATGTAATATTTCAAAAAAAAAACATGAATACATAATATGATGAAGGATGGTTCCAACTCTAAAAAAAATTACAACCAACAAGAGTCAACATGTCTGAAATTAGTGAGTAAATTAGTGAGATGTGCTGAAATTTGTAAAAGAACTTAATTTGTAATTTAGAGTTATTCCCTTAAATTGGGATAATATGGATGTTTTATGGTCAAGCCAATGGTCAATGGGATGTTAGTGGTTAAGATTCCCTAAGTGACACTGCACTAAGGGCTAGGCTGAGGCTGCTCTTGACATAAGTCTATACTGCTAACATAAACTTAACTCTCAGCGACAGAAAAAAAAAAGAGAAAAAGACACCCAATTTTCATCAGTCAACTATGCAGCAATATGCACCAAGTCTTATGAATTACAACAAACACAGACTAAAAATAAGTCCAAATGAAGTTTACTGGGACATTGCAAGCAAGATGACGTCTCGTAACTCTGCTCACTGCTGTTATGAATTTTGCCGGGCTATGCATATTGACCCTGGCTAGAGTTAATACGGATTAATTTAAGAGGGATTCAAAATTTCTGTAGGATACAATTTTCGGTAATCTACCACTTGAGGGTGGGTTACCAAGAATAAAATCATGTTGTGCCGGTTTGAAGTGCTATTTAAAAGGCTGTTGTTTTAGTGATAAGATGTTACGATTTACTTCGATCTCTAATATTGATCAAAATACATGGGAATGTTCATTGACATTGTTCACATTCCTTTCAATACATATATAACATAAAAGACAACCTTTTTAAAATAGAAAAAAGTAGGCCTGATCTATTTAATAATTTTTCATTCATGTGATTCCACATATTTTCAACATACTGTGTGTGGGTGTCAGTGTCATTTAAATTGAAAAAAGTTTGTTGAACAACGGAGCGTTCGTAGATTTCGTGTCTGATGACGATGTTGATATAATATAAGCTGCCCATCTATCCGACATAGAAAGTAAGCATGGAAGGATATATATATCTCTATGCACTCCTGTAATGTACTTTACAAGTTAACAGTATCTACTCTCAATGTGTCAAGGCCAAGGAAAACCCAGTGGCCCTCCCCACTGTAACTGTACTATTTAGGGACATCAATAAAAGAATAGTTTAAATAGCACTTCAACCCGGAACAACATGTTTTTTTCATACCCAACGCTGAAGTTTACCACCCTGAAATTACCAAATTTTCATACCATTACTTATTAAAAGTAAAAATATGCTAGGAAAAATTACTACCTGGCTAATGGCTGATTCAAATTCATCTGGCTTCTCGCCCTGAGGCTTGATAATTTTGGCGCTCGCCGAGTACATCTGGGGAAGAAATTTAACATCAATATATAGTATATAGGCTTCCTCTAAAAAAAAAGCTTTACAGTTTTGTTCATACCCTGCAAATGCTAATGTATCAAAATAGTCTAGGCCCTATGCCACAGCAGCCCACAAGGCTCAGAGAAATCAAAACCAAGTCCAAATCCTTAATTTAGGTATTTAAAATGAAAATTCAGCACTATGGTGTAAATTCTCCAAATGAGCATCAGACATGTTAAATCCATCATTCCATAGCTGATTGATATTTAATCTTTTTCAAGAATATAACACAAGCAACAATCATAATAATATATTATTTTAACAAATGACATTTATTTCTCAACCCCAAATCTATTAACATCAATGCTTTCCGAGAGACAATAATGTCTTAAGTTTTATAATTTAAACGCAAAGATTAAGACCCATTAAATGAGAATAAATATTTTACTTTAATTCAATTATATTCGCCTTATTTTAAAATTTTTTCAAGCTACTCATTTATCATAAATATACCTTTAAGGCGACCGTCTACCGGAAAAGGAAGTAGACATGAAAACATCTCGGCATATTCATTATTAAAGAATCGCCCTTTCTTTTCATTAAATTTTTTTTAAACAGTAACATACTAAACACACAAATTCTTCGTTAGTGTAAGGTAAGTACAGCCTAAATATTTTTCTTTTGGATTAAATATAAAATATTTAATTAACACCTGAATCATTTATTTTGACAAAATGAATTATTAGTTAAGTGGCGAAAATGAGCGGAAATAAATGTAGCGTTCTCTTTTTAAAAAAAACACAATAAAGGTCAATAACAAAGTTTATTACAATTAGTTCGTCCGAGTTACTGAGACGGCTAAACTTGTAAATAGATTTGTGACAAATTTCGACATGTTTGTGTTTTAAAAAGAGATATATAATATAAGACCTTTTGGGTTGATGTTACGATTTACTTCGAATCTCTTAAACAGTATGTCGAAATCGGGTTCATCATTTTATGCTGTGAGGCGAGGAAGAGTCCCCGGCATTTATAAAACCTGGTATGCGTGTGTGTCTATAAGTCATAAGTATAACATTAACTTTAACATTTTGAAGTGGCCCTAAGACACCGGTTTCAATTCAAGTAATGACCTAGAATTGACGTTGTAATTTTCACACACACATAAATTTTAAAAAATTGGTGTTAAACAAACAAATTATTAGTCCTATTACAACAACATACTTAACACTTAAAGTCTTAACAGTTACAGTCCTGCATTGGCATTGGTGAAACAATTCATGGTAAACCTTTGTTGGGTGCGCCATTCATTTCCTATGGTGGCCATCTTGATTGTCGATGGTGGCTGCATAAAAAAAAGTAGTGCAGACATACGTTTGCTAAAATGGGGAGGGGAAATAGTGAGAATGTTTTGTTTTAGCTACTTACATTTACACAGTTATTACATAGAAAAATTAAACGTTAAATTTTAATTAAATAATTTCAGCCAGTACATTATTTCATTTTATACACTTTGGTTAGAAAAGTGGATAAATGAAGGAAAGCAATACAAAACGTGTTTAAAATAATGAAAACCCAACTAACAGTCTCATAGAATAAACTTTTACACATTTTATTGCATCTTCTTCTTCTTAGCCGTTTTCACTCCGAATGGAGCATAAGCCATCCACAACACTTTTCCATCCGTCCCAGTCTAGGGCTATCTTTGCTAGTTCAGCCCAGCTTTTCTTCATTCTCTTCACCTCTGTCTCTACTCCCTTCTTCCATTTGGTTCTTGGCCTTGCTCTTTTTTCTCTGGTACCTTGAGGATTCCAGTTCAGGGCCTGTCTTGTGATGTTAGTGTTCGGTTTCCTTAATGTGTGCCCTATCCATCTCAATTTTCTCATTTTTATCTTTGTTTCCACCGGAACGCTTGATGTTCTCTCCCAAAGGACAGTGTTACAAATTTTGTCAAACCATCTTATTTTGAGGATTCTTCGCAAGCATCTGTTTATAAAAACCTGCAGTTTTTTAATGTTTGTTTTTGTTGTTCTCCAAGTTTCACAGCCATACAGAAGAAGTGTCTTGACATTTGAGTTGAATGTTTTTAACTTTGTTTTTGTCAGTATTTCACTTGAGTTCCAGATGTTTCACAGGGCATTGAATGGTCCTCTGGCCTTTTGGACCCTAGATTTAATGTCCTCATCTGTGCCACCATTTTTATTTATGATGCTTCCCAGGTATTTAAAAGTCTCAACTTTCTCAAGAGATGCTCCTCTCAGATTAATTCCAATGACTCCATCATCCACTGCATTTATTCTTAATGTCTTGGTTTTCACTTTATTTATAATTTATGCAAAGTCCAGAGTTCCCACGCATTTGGGAATTCATTGAATAATATTCCTGGTCATAAAAACCGGGAAAGTGGGTCTTCTAGTAAGGAAAATTTCCAGCTAGTTGGAATTTTTTAAATCGTAAAAAAGAATAATAAATTAGGATTCCATGAAAATCGACGTTAATCGTCAATCTCGTCTGTTTTTAGCCTTTCAAATGAACTTTCCCAAAATGCTAGTGGTTTCCCCTTAACTGTGGATGCGTTTGGATCAAAACTTTTATTCATACAGTACTACTTTGACTTTGATAGACCAGAAATATTTATTTTCTGTTCAGTTCGCCAATCAAGAGGTTTGCGTAAGTAAATGTAAAATAAAATTATTTATTTGAATCTAGTTTATAATTGTGAGGTAGCTATTGTAAATATAAAACTATTTTTAATGGTTTTACTGTATGTAGGCGTAAATTAAAAATATCATCGCTATGCCTAATTCGAATTAGCAATTCAATAATAGTAATAATAGAAGATTTTGGCTATAACAAAAACATTGCAGTGTATTTTTTTATTAGTGCTAGGCCTTCTAAATTTAAATAGGCTAAAATTAAGTAATTTTGTGATACTATGTTTCGTAGCGTAGTTTACTAGTTTAAGTTTACTCTATGGCTGACTTCGGAACTTAATTTAAAATTTATTAAAACTAGTTGATTTGATTCAAACATTCAGTGAGCCTGACATAACTGTATATAGTTAGACTTCATTTGTGCTCTAGGTATGCTTTTTTACTTTTCGGTATTAATAGTATTATTACTATTATTACATAAGCACAGTGGCGTAGGCAAAGGGGTTTTTTTTTGGTGGTGGTGGTTTAACTTTGGAGACCAAGGCCTGCGGAAAATCCTGACACTAATGTCATTTCATATGTGATATGCCTATCTTAGTATTTCTTCTGACTGTGTATTACTGTACCGGTAGTTTAGTACGGTTATAATATAGTCTATATGATGTATGCTTTACTATTAATTATAAACTTAATAAGACAATATATTTTATTTTGTTTCACTGTTCAGGATCTAGGCCCCTAAAATAATGCCCAACAGTTCCTTTAAAAACTGATGGTCATACAGCAATTATGATAATGTTTAAACAAGTCATCACTGCTACACTATGTTAGAAATATTGATATCAAGTATTCTAGGGGGAAATGTTTAAAAATTTCAATCATCTGATGAAACATCTTGTCTAGTTCAACTTCAGCTTATCACCTTTCATAGGTGTCCACTTCTGCAACGTCTCAGTCAAGCTCCCAATTTATGTGTCAAAATATGAAAACCTGATTGGAGAGAGTGTCCATTAAACTATCCATTTTCATTGCAAGAAGAAAACGTTAACTCCATATAAGAAAATGTGATTTTAACTTGTGGTAGCTATAAATATGTTCTAAATTGCCCTGAAGAACAAATTGTAGAAGTTTCCCTTGCACTTAAAAAGTAAACATCAACAATATTTCCAGTCTAAGTAAATTAAACACTTGCAATTGCTAGGAAATTTAAACAATATTTACTTGTCTACACTAAATGCACCTTTATTGCTTAATTTTGTTCATTTGTGTTGCATTTCAATGTTGCTTTATTTTGTCAATTTCATGGTTGTTTTTAAATTATAAACAAAAACACTGTATTGCGATAGTCGGGAATTTTGTAGTTTTCAATTGGGAAAAGGTAGGGAATTTTGTTTTTAAAAAAAGAGTGGGAACCTAGTAAGTCCAACTTGCTGCAATACAGAGTCAAGTTTTGTTGTTTTCTCCTGCATTTATTTCTGGCTATGTGATAAAAGTGCAATGTCATCTGCACATTCCAAATCCTCCAACTGTCTGAAAGGCGTCCACTGGATTCCATTTTTCCCGTCCTGTGTTGTTTCTCTCATGATCTAGTCAATGGATAACAGAAAGAGGAATGGTGAGAGCAGGCATCCCTGTCAAACTCCAGATTCTATCATAAATGGGTTTGTGAGTTCACCCTCATGCATTATTACTACCGGGGCTATTAAGAGATTTTTGGATGTAATCCATAATCCATGAAAACTAAGACTCCAAAGGTCTGGCATTCGGCGTGCTCCCCGTGAAGTCACAAATCTTAATGAGAACTAATAAATCCCTGATATGGCTAAGAGAATTCACTTATCTTATCTTATAACCCCACAACTCATATTCTTGTATGTGTTCTTAATTAAGTTAGTTAGCTTTTGGGAATACCATAATTTCTTAGTAGTTTCCAGAGTGTATCTCTGTCTAAGCTATCAAATGCCTCTTTCGAAGTCGACAAAATGTAGGTACAATGATGCAATCCACTTCAAGTACTGCTCTATGATTTTGCGCAGGGTTGCAATTTGGTCAGTACATGGTCTGTTTTCTCTAAAACCAGACTGTTCATCTCTTAGTTTGGAGTCTATTGCTTTTTTCATTCTCTGCAGAATAATTCTATTTAGTATTTTTCCTGGTACAGAAAGCAGCTTGACTCCTCTATAGTTTCCACACGCTTGGAGATCTCCTTTCCTTGAAAGTTTGTCCGAGTATCCTTCGCTCCACTCCATGGGTATCTCTTCTTTGTCTAAGATGGTCACAATTAGCTGGTAAAGTATGCTTGATGACAGTTCCAAGTCTATCTTTAGTACTTCTGAATAAAATGAGTAAAACAGAGTAGGGTTAAACCTGAAAAATAAACGCAACAAAACAGCGAACGTGTCGGCAGAAAGCCTTCATCAGCGAACAAAACAACAGAAAAAAGCGGTATAAAATAAAAAGAAGAAATAGCACTTAGCTGGTAAGTAGTATCTGTGGGCAGCAATAGAAGTGTGGCAGAAGGAAAGTGAGTGAGAGTTTAAATATGCAACAGCGAAAAAAAGGGGGAGAAAAAAGTTCACTGTGATAGGTCAGAACGTGGAGGGGCGGAGCTAGGGTCAAGCTGTGAACAGAGACATAACATTAATCCCATCTGGTGTCAAAGTGCCGTAAGTCAGGATAAGCCTGTGTTCCAAATTGACCCAGCTGTCGGTGTTCGTGCTAGCCACAATCGCACTTATTGAAAAGTCTGCCTTGCCCTGGTGGTCGCTAGTATTGAAGTGTTTGGAGACGGGACACTGTTTATCTTGTGTGATGTTTCAGAGGTGTTTAGGTACACCTGTCAGAGAGACGGCGTCCAGTCTCCCCTATGTACGTCATCTGACAGCGGGTGCAGACAATGGCGTAGATAACGTTGCGGCTTGTACAGAGGAAACCGTCGCGTATCTGGAAACTGCCCTTAGGGAAACGTATGTGATGAGTCTGGACGACAAGGGCAAGTGTTGCAAGGGCTGCGTCCACACGGCTTGGTCCCAAAGTGGGAGGGGGGAGCATTGATACGACTGCGCACGAGGAGGTCTCTCAGATTTTTATCCCGTCTGAAAACAATGAGAGGTGGTGAAGAGAAAATTTCTCGAGTGTCGGTGTCTGCGAGTAGTAAAGATCGATGTTTAAGGAAAACACGATAAGCAATCAGATTGTGAGTGAGATAAGTTATAATGAGTTTTTTCCTGTCAGCATTGTCACTCAGACATGGTCTGAAGGCATCAGCACGTGTAATATTCTTAACCTTTTGGAGGGCTGATGAAAGTACTGTCTCCGGGTAAGACCTACACCTGAAAAAGTCTATCATTTCAAGTGCTTTGTCCCAAAAGTCATCATCTGAAGACGAAGTAATTGAGAGAAAGGAATAGAGTCTTTACAGGATTTAGGGTGGGATGAAGAGTAGAGTAGATAGCTGTGGCTGTCAGTGGGCTTAAAGTGGGCAGAGGTGAGTAGGGTGTCTTTGTGAAGAGTGACTGTAATGTCTAAGAAATTGACTGAGGTCTCAGAGATAAGAGATGTGAATTTAATGGAGGGGTGAAAGGAGCCTACAAAGTTAATGAACAGGTCAAGTTCACTCCTCTCCATAGTGGTGACCCCTATACCATCATCTATGTACCTCTTATAGAATTCAGGGAGGTGTCCAGTATAGCTGCTTTCGACCATGTGTTCGAAATGCCCCATGAACAAGCAAGCATAGCTGGGTCCCATTTTAGTCCCCATAGCAACACCACTGATTTGGTTTGAAGAATTTGCCACCAAACTCAAACGAATTGAGGGTGAGGACTTGTTCCGCCAATCTGAGGAGGGTTTTGGTGGGTATAGATGGGTGGGGCCTTTAGTTTAGTACTTCTGCAAGTATTCCATCAGGGCCAGCAGCCTTTCCATTTTTCAATAGTTTGATCGCATTTTTAATTTCTGTTCTGTTGGATACATTGCAATCAATGAATAGATCTTCTGCAGGTAGAATTTCAGGTAGTTCTTGTGGGGCTGGCCTGTTCAGTAGTTCTTTGAGATATTCTAGCCATCTTCTCTTTTGTTTATCTTTGTTGGTTAGTTTTTTCCCCAGTTTGTCTTACTTTTATTGGCCTGCTTTGCTGATGAAACTTTCCTGTCAGTCTCTTTGTTGCATTGTACAGGTCCCATTAGGTTACCTTTTGATGCAGCCTCCTTAGCAATGTCATCAATAAATCTCCTTTTATTTTTCCTGATGTTCTTTTTAACCTCTTTATTTGCATTTGTGTAGTTATCAAAAGCAGTCCTCTTGTTTTGCTCTCTAAATAAATTACCTTCTTTCTTTTCCTCTCTTCAATTTTGTATATTGTTTCTTTTGAGAACCACTCCTTATAATGATATTCTTTCTTCCCTAATACTTCTTGGCATGTGTTCGTCCAAATCTCTCTAATATGCCGCCATTGATCTTCTATCTTCAATTATGTTCTCGAGCTGTTGCAGAGCCTCAAATCTGTTTGATAGGTTTATTCTAAACTCCTCTTTCTTTTCAGGATCTTTAAGCAAATCTGTGTTATGGCGCTATATTTTCTTTTCGATGGTGTTCTGTCTTTTAAGTTTTAGCATTACTTTCGCTATCACCAAGTTATGGTCATATGAAACGTCTGCTCCTCTATGGGCTTTAACATCTTGCAGTGAGTGTCTGAACTTTTTATTGATACATATATGATCAATCTGGTTTTGGGTCTCTTGATCTGGTGATATCCAGGTCACCTTATGGATCTTCTTGTGTGGAAATATGCTTCTTCCTATTACCAGGTGATTATTTGCACAAAAGTCTGCAAACATCTCTCCGCTTCATTCATGTTTCCTAATCTGTGTCTTCCCATTACTTCCTCATAACTCGTATTAATGTTTCCTATTTTTGCATTGAAGTCCCCCATGATAATGTTAATATTCTTGTCCCTCACACTTGAAGCAACATTCTGAAGTTTTTCATAGAAGTAGTCTTTTATTTTCTCCTCTTTGTCATTTGTTGGTGCATAAATTTGGATGATGTTTAGGTTGATGTCTTTCTTGAAAGTTTTAAAGACTGCTCTTATTTTCATGGGTCCCTCAGGCTGCCATTCAGTCAGAGCCTTCTTTGCAACACGTGACACTATCAGGGCTACGCCCTTCACTGTGTATGGCATCGTCTTCTTCATGACCAGAGTATAAAATGGACTCTCTAGATGTTAGTTTAGCAGATCCATTTCCTCTCCATCCTGCCTCACTCATTCCTCAGATGTCTACTCTGTATTTCCTCTGTTCCATAGTTACTTGTTTTATCTTCTCCTCCTCCCACATCGTTCTAACATTCCAGGTGCCAATCCTGGAACTTTTCCTCAGCGTCAGACAGGAATTCGGCAAGTCAGTTCCCTTATGGGTTTGATTAACCTGTGTCATAATCCCTTTATAACAGCGGTTCTCAACCTGTGGGTCGCGACCCCTTTGGGGGTCGCGGGACCCTTTTCCAGGGGTCGCCTAAGACCATCTGAAAACATATATCTTTACAGCTATGAAGTAGCAACGAAAATAATTGTGTGGCTTGGAGGTCGCCACATCACGAGAAACAGTATTAAGGGGTCGTGGCACTAGAAAGGTTGAGAACCACTGCTTTTTAAGGACCCATCCTCTATGGGGGTGGCAAAAGCTTATTGGTTACGGATGTTTTCATAGTGATTGTTGATTTTCTTGCAATGGATGGGTTGCTAGCCCATTGCAAAGCATGATACAAAAAGTTGCCTCGTACGACACGCTTGCTTGGCACTGACTTATTCTACTCCTATATTAGGTCTCGTCAGTTCCATGCGGGAACACTTTATTGCATGTTCCACCTATAATAACATCAATAAATACCCATTTTCTAAAATGCCTGAAAAATTAACTATAATAATTAACCTCCCAATAAAATATAAATTTACAACATTCCATTGGCGGTTTAATATTAAAAAGAAAAGTTAAGTCTAGCAACAAGACAAAACAAAATGGAGAGAATCCAACTGAGAAACTCAAAGTGGCACGCGGATCCAACATTAGCCCAATTTAGTATTACAGACCTGTTTACTCTTACCATTTTGGCGTACAATGTACGATTTTGAGATGTAAACATTATATATACTGTATGATTATTTTTTTCTATTAAGTTAATGCATTGAACGATTTTGTGATGATATTGTACGATTTTAAGAGTTTGAGGGTAAACAGGTCTGGTATTAGTATTACCTTTTGAGCCTTATGGCAATGGTCTGATATTTCATCACTTCTCATCAAACACTGATTAAATAGACTCATCAAGAAAGCTAGTAATTATGCTCAAACATAACTGCCTTTGTTTGAAAAAGTATTTGAAGCACTTAGCATTAGTAAAACTAAAAACATTTTGGCCGATACTACTGATAGATCCCACCCTCTTCATCACAGAATGAGATATACCTAAGATAAGCTCCATCAGGGCCAATTCTTTCATTCAAAGTAAGGACAGAAAGATATAAAAATTGATTTATTCCCCAATCTATTAGAATTTACCATTGTACTCCCCCAGTTGTTGAAAAAAATAATAATCTAAATAATCTCTCTTAAAATCAACATTGTCACAAATTAACTGAAGTTCCATGGTCCATGGCATGTGACATATGATTTTTTTTTTGCTCTTGAGAAATATTTTTAGATGCCTTGTGTTAAATTGTTCTAGTTTTGAAAAATTTGTCTTTGTAAGAATATTCATGTTGTGCTTGGTGGCCGATTGGTCTAAAAGAACCCCCTGCATGGGACTCATTAGCCTTGTACAGTAACTCATCTAAGAGAAGGCAAACTCTGAATTCAAATCAGGAGCCAAAATGATCAATAAATTGATCATGGGCCCTCAAATATAAAAAAAAATTGTATGTCTGGAGAATGAATATGTAGATAAAACATTCCCATTTATTTGGATCAATAAAAGCATGTTATCGTATAAAGCACTTCTCTAGTGAAAAATGTAGCATAGAAATGTGCTTGTAATTTTAAGTCAGTCATTAAGTGCTTTCCTCAAAACTTCAATTCAAATCAATAAATTTTCAGCAAACATTGCACTGACTGGTCATAGATTAGCATAAGCTGGTTTCTTGTGGCTATAATAAATATATCAGATGCACCATTTTTTTCAACAAAAAATAAGTGTTGGACTGTGATAAAGCTTTTAAGTAGCTTAATTAGACACTAAAAATGTGCGTAAATAAAACAATTTATGTTCAGCTTTAATGATGATTATACAAAATACAAATGTAGAAGTTTCGGCAAATGCCTTCATCAGTACAAAAACAAACATTCATATAATTTAAATTAAATTTACATAGTACATATATAAATATACATGTATCCTAAATAAAAAAAGAGAAAAAGAATGAGAGTGGGTGCCCAAATATTGTTTTATTTACACAAATTGTTTGTGTCTAATTAATCATCTTGCAAAAAAAAGCAGCACAGTACAGTCTATTGTATTTTTCTTGTTGTCTTACTTACTTCTGATTGTAGTCATTCAAAGCAAATCAGTTTGTTGTTTCGTATGTGTGCTTGTACTTGTATCGGGAACTCGTTGCAGGAAGGTACATTTGACCATATGCCATACAGTTGGCAAAACATCAGATTTTCCCTCAATTTTTTAAAATATTTAACACTTTATGTCCACTGCTGGCTGGCTGAAAGTTGCTGGGCCTGTTGCAGGGGTGTTTTGCAATCTGAGTTTTTCATCTCTTTTATATGCCATGCCTGCCTTATTTGTAAATGCTATAAATTATACTTATCTTTAAATATTTCATAGGGCTGAATGTGAGAAGCAAGTGAAGGGATTTTCAAAACCTGCTTTTAAAAAATTCTCAAATTATGAAGCATCTCTTGCCTTTATCAATGGTAATTTTTACATTTTTAATTTTTAGCTTTTTTCTTCGACTTCTAGACTTGAGATTTCGTTTTTTCTTTATATATTTTTGTGTCCAGAAAAATTGTAGATTCAAATCAACCAGGAAGTATCAGTAACTAGCTTTTTTTCCTTGTGATTCAATGATTCATGAAACTGTTAGTTAATTTAATATAAACATTTGTCAATTTGATTACTCCACAGAACATTCAATAGAATAAGTTTTATTTGCAAACTTCTTGTTAAATATGTGCTACTACATTTTTTTTTAGTGGGGTGGGATGTGTTGAATCAAAAAATTTTCTGTGTACTGTTGGGAAAAAAATGAGCACCACCACAAATACATAAGTTTTCTTTTGACATCTACATATTTGCCCTTACCAAAAAATTTGGCTGACACTTATTAGTATTTTTTAAATTTTAAGTAGTCTTTCAACTATCCTTCAACTCCTGCAATTAATTATGCAATTAAAGGGATATTGTAATATAGGAATATTTAAAAATTAAAATAGACTGCTGTTATCGACTTTTTTTTCTTTAAATAGATTTTAGGACATCAGAGCGCTTTGAGCATGCTAAAATAGTATGGATACAAGCGCTATAAAAGTACTCAATCATCATCTGACTAAAACTAAAAGAACTCCTTGAGTTTAAAAATATATTTTTTCCTCTAAATTCTATGTTAAATTTAGAATAAAATAAATTTGTAAAATATATTTAAAAAAGGAGAAATCTCATTTTAATCCTTACTTAAAACTTTTTCTGCTTTTACATCATCTTCACCAAAAACAAATGTTTTAAAAAATTAACACAACTCATCTTTTTAAAAACATAATACATTTTTGTTTACAGTTTTAGGTTAATTTATTATTAGTGTTCATTTGGCAGACTTGTTTGATTTCTCACAAAGCCACATGCAAGTACTGGGGAAATTGGTAGTAACTTGCAAGATTAATTTTTATATTTTCTTCAGTAAAGTATATTTTTCATATTTAATTTTAGCTCCTGGCACTGGCTCAAAACGTCCATACTGCTCAAGCTCTGGTCAGGATTTAGAGAACACGCAAAGCAAATTTCCCAAATTTGATCATGAAGTTGATAATTTCACAGGTATTAATGAATATCATGTACAAATCATGATTTTATTATGAAACAAGTATTTTGAGATTATTTTTTTTTTTTTAAATAAAAACTATCAAAAACTAATTTTTAACAAAGATTTAGTTGTTAAAATTAAAAGATTAAAACTAAACTTTGAAACCAATTTTTATGTGTTAATTGGCTAGGGCAAAGTGTGTTTATACAAGGATATTGTCAAATTGAAAGCTTCACCTCTGCATTGCTTGTCTTGCATCACTTTGAATGACAGTTATGTTATGAATGTATAGCTTATGTTTGGCTATTATATTTGGAAAGTGTTCTTTTTAATCAAATTTATTATTGGGATGGCCCTGTATTTGTTTTAAGCTCTTTGTTATCTTACTTTGTTTTATCTTGTGCCCTCTCACTTAAAAATTAAAATTTATTCATCATTGGGTTTTTTTTATATACTTCAATACAACTTGACTCAGATCAGTTGTCACCAATTCATGTTATTATTATTCTTATCATTTCCACAAAAACTCAAATTATGTGGGGTTTTCTCTGCATTCTTTCTGTTTTTTAAGTATTATCTCTTTTGTTTTGTTTTTTAATCCAGGCACAAAATTTTCTGAAAAAGAAGGAACTCATGTTTATACAGATGGTGGCTGTTTTCAAAATGGAAGACATGGCGCTAGAGCTGGATTGGGTGTTTACTGGGCACCCAATGATCCAAAGTAAGAAATCATTTTGAGTCATCTGTAAGGCAAGGGTTTAACTAGTATATTTGTGTCCTCCTTTGAAAGCATAATGTTTAATTTTGAGCTGTGAAGTTTTAGTTTTATTTTTTTGTAAATATTTTTTTCAAAATTATGACTGTTCCTCAAATACATTGGCATTTATCTTTCTGCTGCAAATAATTAAAATTAGAAATGAATTAACTATTTAATTTTCACTGAAACTTTTTTTTTTTTAATAAATTGGCAGTTAATAAAACTGAAGGGTTCTTGTTAAGTATAAGACACAAAAATCCTTGTGACTCAAAATGTGCCTGAACTTATAAATAAAATGAGTATGTCTAACATTAAATACCTTACTTTTCGTTTGCCATTAGGGCATTAATGCATAGGATGTTTTGATATGCTTATTAACAAGATTTCCCGTCTGATTTCTTTTCTTATTAAAAACCAATTTTAGTAACATCAGTGAAAAACTATCAGGGAGGCAGACAAATAATAGAGCAGAAATATATGTAAGTTTTATTTGATTTTAAATGTTTTTCCAATACGGTTCTGCTTTGGCCATGTTAATAAAATATCCTCAAAGACTGTTTACTATAAAATCCTAGTGAACTTATTCCTTACAAATATTTAAGTTTGTACGTTACCTATTTAGTCATTTCATATTAATTAAGGGCATTCTTCCATATATTCCCAGGCAGCTGTTCGTGCAGTGCAAGTAGCCAAAAAGAAAGGAATTCAAAATCTCATTCTTCATACAGACAGTCAGTTCCTTATCAATAGTAAGTGACTGAGTCCTAGTGCTAGTGTTAACAATCATTTTTTTTTAAAATTTGATCTATAGCAGGCCTGTACAACTCAAAATGTGAGGTGGGCCATAATACTTCATGAAAAACTTATGCTGGCCTAAACAAAATAGGAACGCAAATGGGTGGAGTGGGGGGGGGGGGGGCTATAAAAAACAAAAAAATAAAAAAGAATTTTTCTTTACTTACGAAGAAAATTNAAACATGAGCGTGGCTTGCAATGATCAACACAAACATGAGCGTGGCTTGCAATGATCAACACAAACATGAGCGTGGCTTGCAATGATCAACACAAACATGAGCGTGGCTTGCAATGATCAACACAAACATGAGCGTGGCTTGCAATGATCAACACAAACATGAGCGTGGCTTGCAATGATCAACACAAACATGAGCGTGGCTTGCAATGATCAACACAAACATGAGCGTGGCTTGCAATGATCAACACAAACATGAGCGTGGCTTGCAATGATCAACACAAACATGAGCGTGGCTTGCAATGATCAACACAAACATGAGCGTGGCTTGCAATGATCAACACAAACATGAGTGTGGCTTGCAATGATCAACACAAACATGAGCGTGGCTTGCATTAATTTTCAGTATTGAAATTGTCCATTCACATAGATAAGTGGTTCCAAACACACTACTAGTTGTTAGTGCACCTTCGTAAAGATTTGGGTACTTCTCAGATTTTGATGAAACTCCTGCAGGCTGCTCTCTCTGTGCTTGCTTCGGTAAATTTCCGAACATTGTAGTTTGATAAGCTCCATCTGCAATTAAACTGGTATGTTTTCCGGAAATTGATCTTCAATTAGTTCAAACTAAAGTTACTCTTCTTTAGAAAGAGTGAGCCTTTGAATAAATTCTTCCATCAAAATATTAATTTCATTAGCAAATTGTTTTCCCAACTCGACGTGGTTGTCCTGAGGAAAATGCTTTTTAAAAGTGGCTCATTTCAGCATTTAGTAACTGGGTTTTGAAAAGTTTCTTATTCAGTTTAAAAGCGTTTAATGCTGCAAACATACAAAATACAAGTTGTTGCTTACCTTAAAGTTGAATGTTAAGGTCATTTAGATGTTTTTCTTTTATATCACAATGGAAGAAGAGGTCATGATACCAGGAGTCATCTTCAAACACAGGGAATTCCTTTGCTTCATCTTCTGATATTCCTTTCTTCAAAGCAACGAATCGCTGAAGCACTTTCCCTCGGCTTAACCATCTGACTTCTGCATGGTATATACCGTCTCTGTAGTCGGCGTCTATATCTTCAAGAAAAGTCCTCTTGATCTTATGTGGTTGACTCTTTTGACAACAACCGACATAACATGTTCTAAATTTAACACTTGGCTACACAACGCCTGCGCGTGTATAATGCAATGATATTTTGTTATTTGCCTTCCAATAAAATTTTCAAGAATCGCAACTGCGCCCTTATTAATACCTGTCATATTCAGGGCACCATCGTACAAATGGCCACTAATTTTATAAAATCTTATCCCATCTTATCTTTCAAGCACTTTATCACTTCATTGAGGATATCTTTTCCGGTTGTGCGACCTGACATGGAACCCATTCCTGCTAGTTCTTCGGTAATTTCACAGTTTTTGTCAACACCTCTAATGAAAATGAGAAGTCAGGCAGTGTCTTTTAAATCTGTGTTTTCACCCATAGCTAGAGAATAAAAAAGAATATTCACAAGTTTTATGTTTTACTGTTCTTGAAGATTGGTGGAAATACAGGGTTTTTTTTCTGTGCAGTGTCATTCACCATAAACTGATGTTTTGAAATAACACTGGTTTTTACGGACTTAATTCAGACCTTGCAATCAGCATGCACTTCTTTACAAAGGATTTCCCAGCAGTAGCAATTTCCCTTGAAATACAAAAGCTAATCTTGGTAGCAGTCTCATTGTCACTGTTCTTTTTCTTGAAAAATATCTGCTCTCCAGTAAGAGTTTTCGATAGATTCGCTGCTTTAATGGATTTTTCATTTTGGTCCCATTTTGACAAATTAGGACGTTTAGATTCAAAATGCCGGCAAAGATAAAACTCTTTCGGTTAGGCAACTGTGTCAGGACATACAAGGCACAGTATTTTTTCCTTGAACACTGTAAATAAGTATTTACTTGTCCATTTAGAATTAAAAATTATGTGCTTCATCTCTAGTTCTCTCTTTCTGTTTTGATTCATGGTGCTTAAATATATCAAGTACACGTCTATAAGTATAGTACCGAACTAAATCCACAGAATATCAAAAAACGGGATACGTGAGTTCAACACAACACAATTCTAGACAATATTACAAAAATAATAAAATGCTACTCTCCACAGAAGACACTAGTTTTGAACACACTTACGCTACCGAGACAAAGAGTAATTGTTCAGGAAAAATGTGCGTGCATGATTAAATTTCATCACCAGGAAAGCTAACATGTAGTAAAATATTGACGCAACGATAAAAGATTAGTAGACCTAATTTAATTGGATTTAAATAAAACAAAACATTCCTTTCAAGTATAAGTGGGGATTATTATAGTATTATACGGTATAAATATATATCTATCGTAATATTATATATCAATATACTAGGGAATATTAATATTAATTTATGATATTATGATTTTTTCACCAAAGTCTTCACGGGCCACAAAGTGGGTGCGCGCGGACCGTATGTTGTGCAGGCCTGACCTATAGTCTTCATTCATGAAGCAGATTTTAAATGATTTGTGTTACATTTTTTTTTTTCTCCAACTAAATAACATCAGTAATTAACTCTCTTAGGCATTACAAAGTGGATCAAAGGGTGGAAGAAAAAGGGCTGGACAAAAGCAACAGGTAGTCCTGTGACAAACCGAGATGACTTTGAAGCACTTGACAAGGAACTAAATGGAGTTAATGTGAAATGGGTATGTTGGCTAGCATTTTCAACCTCTCAGCATTGCAGATGCTAGTTATGGCAACCACAATGAGTTTTATTAGTCATAAAAGCAGTTAACACAATGTCTTTAAATTAATCAAGTGGTTTATTCTTTAAATACACTTTGGACTTTCTACAGTGACTGCTAATGTCACTGTAGAAAGTCCATTAACAGTTTTTCCCAGTATAGTAGACCTCTAAATATTATTTATTAGACTACGTAAATTCAAGTAGTAACAAACTACAAACAAAGCCAAAAACAAAATATGACACAAATCTGATCTGACATTATGTAACGTAAATTGCTTATTTCCAATGAGACAAGTTTATGGTCATGAGGAGAGAATTTGTTGGTCAGTAAATTGTTCCATATAGGTCAGCATGTTGGGGGTGGGGGGCCTCTCAATACAGAATCACTACAATTTGCTTGGCAATGCTTACCAATTATGCTATGATAAGTTGTTTACTTTCATAATAATACTTATCATAAATCTCAGACACAAACAATTTTACCTTGTTCCATCTAAGATTGATCAAATAACTTTTGTTAAAAATCAGCATTTTTTAAAAATTTGACATCAATGTTATTTTCTATGATTTTTTTAATCACATAATAGAACATTTTAAAGGTGAATTTTTTTTTAAAATAGATCTTCATTTTATTCATTCTTATCATTTAAAATAAAAAATTAATTAACCTGATAAATTGGAGTTGAAATTAAAGTAAAAGTTTTGTTTTAACTCTCTGCAGTCCGACTATAGAGAAATGGTACTTATATGTACCATAGATTTTGTGGGTGGGTTATTTATTTTTTAACTTTTTTTTTAATTGAAAAAAATTATTTATTATATTTTAATAATTTGTTTCATTGGTTTAAGTATTTATAAAAAAATTAAAATTATTACAAAATTTGAAATTACTATTTAAAAAAAATATTTTTGGAAACTTATTCAGCGCGGAGTATCCCTTGAAAGCTTCGCAGATTTCCAAAAAAACAAAAAATATAAGTCTCACAAAAAAAATTAAATAGTAGTATGAATATTGTCAAATGATTTTAATTTCCCGATTTATCAAGGAGTTATTTGTTTGTCTAAAGCAATGTATCCAAATGGAGACTCTAATCATGAAATTTATCACGATTTGCATATAAAAGTACCGACTAATGCTATCGTAAACAAGTAAGCTTAATTTTAATTATTATTTCCCGACTTTAAAATTAATAATAAAACAATAAAGTGATAATTTTATAATTTTAATTGGCTGAAGTATATATTATCCATTTATACTTACATTGATATATTCTATTTGAATTATATTGAGTTTCAATAATTATATAATAAATAAATAGCGTCGCTATGCGAAATAAATATTTTAAAAAAATAGCGGAAAATTTCGGTCGATTGGAACTTGCGTAATTAAATAAATTTAAAGTTAAGGACTTCTGAGTTATTAACTAAATATATTTCTTTAAAATATGTTACAGCCAAGAATAATCTTCTAAATTTTCTAATATTGCATAGTAGAAATGTGTTTAAATTTAATTATCATTATCGCTAGTCACTAGTATTAGTAGAGACTACTGTCGGCAGAATAAAAAAAAAAACATTTATGTTTTTATTAAAAGCTCTCTAACTCTATTGGGAAGGAGGAGAGAGAGACAAAAATGCAGATATTGGATCAAGAAGCCCTTATTCCTTATTGATCCTAAATATTAAGCCTGGACTCCACCCTTTTACTGAGTTACAGAGTTACTGGATGAATATCTTTGAAGATTTTACCCTAAAAACAAGTGGTGGTAAGTTTTAATCTAATCACTTGGTAGCAAAATGCATAAAGAATAAACTCACAATATTGTTATAACATATGTTATAATGTATTTTCTATGTACAATGGTTTACTTTTATACTAATTTAGGCACTTGGACTAGGATTAATGGTATTTTCCCTTACTGATAGCATACCATTACTGATACCATTAGTGTTAATTTATTTATGAATCAATCAAATTTTTTTTTTCCACAGGTTCTTTATTGAGTGAATATTCTGTGGTGAAAAATCTTACCTAATCTTATGTAGAAATCAAGTCCAGGACAAGCTCTTATTTATCAAATATAATTATTATAATAAAACTGCAGACTGTTTTAAGAAATAATATTTGTTCAGAGTCCATAAATATAATTAAGGAATACTGTACTGTAGTTTATCAGCCTGTGTTATGTGAGGATTATAACACAGATATATAAAAATGCCGGTACATGGGAAAAAATAGATCACATTAGTGAGGAATGGATCGTATTTGACATTAATATCAAAATTAGCATTATTGTACTGATACATTTTAATTTTTTTTAACTTTAACATCAGCGAATACCGCTATTTTAAAATTAATAAAAAAAAAATTGACTCTTGTTTTGAGTTATTTATATATTCATCAAATTTTACTTAGTCATCTTTTACTCAAGAATTATTAAGAAATATATTTAATATACAAATCTATAAGCTATGAGACCCATTTTTTAAAATATATTACATACAAAACATAATTTTCATTAAAAGAAAAATTATAGTGCATTTTTTAGGAAAAAAAGACAAAATATAGGTTTTGCTAAAATGTTGACAACTTTTTGATTGTTCAAAGAATTTTTGTCATGTTTGACTATGAATTGTATAAGTTGATGAAGTATTTTATTTAAATAAATTTTAAATCTTTTATAACAAGGATTTTTTTTTTCCTTCATACTGTGTAAAGATTTTGTCAAATTTTTGCATAAAATGAAAAAAAATAATTCTCCAATAATGTTTCAACTATTTTTATAACTAAGAAAATAAAATATACAAAAAATATCTAATGATAGCTGAGTCAAAGATGAACAAGTTAATATATTTAACTGATCAGATCAGAGCTATTTCAGATCAGTTAATTAATTATTTTAAAAAATCACATTAGGATTTTTAAGAAATGTGAAAAAAACGTCAGACTGCAGAGAGTTAAATAAGTTCTATAAAAAAATATATATATATATTAAGATATGCTTTGAAAATAACCTAACACATGACTCGTATTTTTAATGTTTAAAAAGTTCAATCTTGAAACTGACAAATCTAATTTTTTACTGAATGAAAACGTTGTCCAGATAAAATCAAAATACCTCAATCTCATTATAAAAAGAAGAGCTTTCCATTTTTACTTTTACATTTAATTATAGATATATTCTAGTACTTGAATTAGTCAATAAAAAGTTCGTCATGGATTTGTTTTAATGTGATTTTTTTGAAGAAAAAAATTAAATACTGAATTATAAATCACAAATTGGCTTTTTCAGGTCTATGTGAAAGGTCACTGTGGAGATGTGGCAAATGAGTGTGCTGATAGACTAGCCAAGCAAGGGGCAGAGAAGCCAGATTGTACAGACAAGCAGGAGTAGGAGATTCACAACTTTTTTTTTTAATACAAACTATTTTCTATTTTTTGTTTTCTTAAATGAAAATCAATAAACATGACCATTGCTGTCACAGGAAAACCTGTACATAGAGATGCCAGGATTAAATGGGATAATACCCGGTAATAGAATTAGTAATGATGAGAAAAAATTTAATATTTAAGACTGTTAATTTTAATGATGGGAATAAGTGTGTGGATTTTTTTTCTTTGTGCCATGTGTGCTCATTCACTTGATGTTATAATCAAGTTATAGTATGTTTATATTGTTGAGCTCCTATAATCCATTTCAAAGTTAGGCTCATTAGTATGCTTGGACTAAGTGTAAAAAGCCTGTTTTAAGAATATTACTTTGGGCAACACTAACAGTTAACTTAATTCCCTGATTAACTTTATTATATCTTAGTTCTGCACAAATGGATGCATTGATTAAAACCATTAATGTCGTCATGTAACTTATATTTATAAATTTTTTTGTGATGGATATGTCTGGAAAAGCTAAGCTCTACACTGCCATCAATTAAATATTTTTGTAATGAAAAGGGACTTTGTTTGTTGTTTTCCATTTTGCTGACTTGCGAAAGTGGAAAGGTGTATGTCCTCTCTGTACCTAGTGTTGTGAGTCTTAAACTAAACCATTTTGCTGACTTGTGAAAGTGGAAAGGTTTAAGTCCTCTCTGTACCTAGTGTTGTGAGTCTTAAACTACATTGTAAATGTGGCTGTTTAATTGGTTAGATCTTCTAGTTTAAGAAAATTCAACATATAACTGTACGATAAAACATTTTATGATGGTGACAGACTTGAAATCTGGGTGTGAAACCCCCCAACCTTCCCCCCCTCACCCCCCCCCCAGCACCCATACCATACCCTCATCATGTCTCAAAATGTTATAGATTATGTTTAGCAAATTCTACTATTTATTTAACACGCTACTCCCTCTATTCTTTATTCCCAAGATCCACTACGGGCTATGGACGATAATATAAATCCCATCATTATTATAAACAACAACTAGGTGACTCCACACCAATGAACTGTCTCCCTCAAGTTGAGTCTACACTCTATGAGAAGTTTTATGACTCGCCTTCATTCTCTCATGTTATTGTAAATAATTACCACAGCAGTTTCCAAAACATATCGCGTTTTAATCAATTGTTTTCTTCCGAAATACAATTATGTAAATGTTTTCTCAATTATAATGTACTTTTTGTCATTGAAAATGAAGAAATAAAACATTTGAAAAATGATAAAAATATAGCACCAATTAATAACTCGCTAGCCATCCTAAGACACCAATTTTAACCCAGTGCTCTCCCCTACCGTCACTTCACCTTAATATTTTCCCGGCACACTGTAATGTGCAGAATGATCGTCCTCGCCGTGGTTGCAATCTAATTATACCACAGAGCAGTCAGGTAACTTTTAGAGGTCCACTGACATTTTATCAGTTTTGTACCGCGCCCCCTCACCCCTGCTTATTTTTGCACTAAGAGTTGACAGTTTAACTCGTTCCCTTATATCACAACTTTGGGCCCTATACTATAAATACCGGTAATTTACTTTTTTTATCATTCTACACTTAATCGGAGATCAATTGATGAGATGCTTGTGGAAATTTATGTTACCTGACCTGAATGTGATTAGGCCTAATACAAAACCTTTATCTTTAGTTGTACCAAACAGTAGTGCTTATTATTTTTATTATTTTTATTTAAAATATTTATTTATTGAAACTACTTGAATCGATTAGTGATTTATTTATTTGTTTAGCAATCAGTATCAGAAAACGAAGAGATGTCCTCTCAATCCATCACCTTCGCAAGGTCCATTTTGATCTGAGCTACAATTAAGGTTGGTGGTGGAGCACTTGTGTAGCGCTTGTGTAGCACTTGTGTAGCACTTGTGTAGCACTTGTGTAGCACTTGTGTAGCGCTTGTGTAGCGCTTGTGTAGCACTTGTGTAGCACTTGTGTAGCACTTGTGTAGCACTTGTGTAGCACTTGTGTAGCACTTGTGTAGCACTTGTGTAGCACTTGTGTAGCGCTTGTGTAGCACTTGTGTAGCACTTGTGTAGCACTTGTGTAGCACTTGTGTAGCACTTGTGTAGCGCTTGTGTAGCACTTGTGTAGCACTTGTGTAGCACTTGTGTAGCGCTTGTGTAGCACTTGTGTAGCACTTGTGTAGCGCTTGTGTAGCACTTGTGTAGCGCTTGTGTAGCACTTGTGTAGCACTTGTGTAGCACTTGTGTAGCACTTGTGTCCATGTTATTTTAGCATGCTCACAGCGTTCTGGTGTCCTAAGATGTATTTAAGGGGAAAAAAGTCTTTAATACGTTCTTAAATGACTTTTTATCCTTTTCTTTGTCCCTCAAAGTCTGAGGCAAACTGTTCCACAATTTAGGTGCAATGACTTCAAGAGAGCGCACCCCATATTGCAATGCCTTCTTTCTGTGTCCGTCCACACTGGGAACTCTCACTACTCTCAGCAAGCACTGTGTTGAAGAGCGCAGGTTCTGCAAGGATACATTGTTAGAAATCAGTTTTTGAAGATATACAGGTACAGAGCCTTGAATACAGCTGTACGCCAAGGACAGAATTTTGTAGTCAAAGCACTCACTCACAGGAAGCCAATAGAGGTATTTAAGAACTGGGGTGATGTGATCAAGACCAGCAGTGTAGTAGACTCGTGGGATTTCGTTTTTGTTGCTTAAATTCTTCTTTTTTTCAGGCGAACGGGGAAACAATGGTATATTTATATTCATTAAAAAGACCCACTTTTGAAAAAATGGGCGCAGGTGGAGCGGCCGATTCCACTGCTCCACCCCTGGCAACGGTGCAGGCGGAGTGGCCGCTTCCACTGCTCCACCCCTGGCTACGGTGCAGGCGGAGTGGCCGCTTCCACTGCTCCACCCCTGGCTACGCTACGGTGCAGGCGGAGTGGCCGCTTCCACTGCTCCACCCCTGGCTACGGTACAGGCGGAGTGGCCAATTCCACTGCTCCACCCCTGGCTACGCTACGGTGCAGGCGGAGTGACCGCTTCCACTGCTCCACCCCTGGCAACGGTACAGGCGGAGTGGCCGCTTCCACTGCTCCACCCCTGGCTACGGTGCTGGCGGAGTGGCCGCTTCCACTGCTCCACCCCTGGCTACGGTGCAGGCGGAGTGGCTGCTTCCACTGCTCCACCCCGGGCTACGGTACAGGCGGAGTGGCCGCTTCTACTGCTCCACCCCTGGCTACGGTACAGGTGGAGTGGCTGCTTCCACTGCTCCACCCCTGGCTACGGTACAGGCGGAGTGGCCGCTTCCTCTGCTCCATCCCTAGTTACGGTGCAGTGCAGGCGGAGTGGCCGCTTCCTCTGCTCCATCCCTGGCTACGGTGCAGTACAGGCGGGATTATGTATTTATTTTGAAAGACTTCCTATCTACTCTCAAATCCATGAGGATTTGTAGCACATATTTGTTGTCGCACGTGACCCATGCTCTCGGTTGGTCGTCTACCTCGTGCTGACCTTTAAGGTCAGATCCGAGTTGATGACACAGAGTCACAGTACAGACAGATCCGGTTTGTTGAGTCGAGAGAGATGGGGGAGTGGGGTGGTGAGTGATGAGGAAATAAGAAAAGGTGATTGACAAACAACCCTACCCATCCGCTTCCAATAATTAATTTTAAGAAAATTGATTTTTATTTTTTAGAAGAGCGTATGAACTCGTCTCAAGAAGAATTTTTTTTTTTAGTCATTAAACATAACATTTGTTTTTATTGAAAGTTTAAACACTTCGTTATCAGACGCCCTTTACTGTTACCATTTACATTCCGAAATGTAGGTCAGGTGTGACAAGCTAGACAAAACATTTTGAAGACGTGACGTCGCTGTCGAATCAGATCAGTCTGTCAGCAGGCGCGGACAACTTGGGGTGAAGTCAACCAATAATCTGACGTCACTGAACCTTTAAAAAAAAATTAAAACGCGTGTTGCGTGCGTTGTTGTTGGGTTTTTTTTTTTTATTTCCATAAACGTTGGCTCAGACGTAAACGCATTGATCCAGTGCCGAGGCAAGCCCATTCCGAGGATTCCATTCGGAAAAGTATATAACCCACGTCACATAGGGCCTAGTTGCAGCACCCACCCTTTCTGTTTGTTTGGGTTCGTGCTGTCCTGTCACTGTATTGGTTACAGTGACGTCACCGGTTAACATAAAGGGACAGGGCACGTGTATTATGTAACGCGAAGGTGGGTAAGGGCGGTTTATCATTTTGTTATGTTGTGTTATATGTGGTGGTAAAGGGCAGTGTTACATTACAATTCTCCTAATTGAATATTTTTTTAAAAATTAATTATTATTTTTGCAACGAATTTTCTGTTCAAATTTACAAAGTTATCCGAGATTATCATAAACTAAATTGTATTTCCTGCATACAATAATTAACACCTTTAAAAAATAATAATAATAATAGTTTCCTCTTTTGCTTTAAATTGGTTTGTCTCGTTGTTTTAATAGTATGTTTTTATGCCGCTTTCCTGAAGTCTTGCAGGACTAAATTTATAATAAACATTTGATTTACAGATTACAGAAAGAGTTGTTTGTTTTTTTTAAATGCCCCAAACAACAATTTTAGCATGTAACCAATTTTTTATGGAAAAGAGGGGGGGGGGCTAGAAATGTTATATACTGTAAGGAGGGCAATTGAAACTGTATATTATCTTATAAGGGTGAGTCAAATGTCATATGTTGTGTTTTTATATATGCTGTGCCCCAAAGGCAGATGAGCCATGCGCCTAAGTGTCCCACAACTTTTAGGGGCCATCAAGGTAGGGGGCACTTGATTTATATCCTGAAAATCCCTGTAATGACGTAATATATCGTGTTTGTTTTAAACTAATGTTGATCCTTTTGCCATTTACATCCATCGCCATGTAGGCTGGAGAGTTATGGGAAGGAAACCATTTACATCCATAGCCATGTAGGCTGGAGAGTTATGGGGAGGAAACCATTTACATCCATAGCCATGTGGGCTGGAGAGTTATGGGAAGGAAACCATTTACATCCATAGCCATGTAGGCTGGAGAGTTATGGGAAGGAAACCATTTACATCCATAGCCATGTAGGCTGGAGAGTTATGGGAAGGAAACCATTTACATCCATAGCCATGTGGGCTGGAGAGTTATGGGAAGGAAACCATTTACATCCATAGCCATGTAGGCTGGAGAGTTATGGGAAAGAAACCATTTACATCCATAGCCATGTAGGCTGGAGAGTTATGGGAAGGAAACCATTTACATCCATAGCCATGTAGGCTGGAGAGTTATGGGAAAGAAACCATTTACATCCATAGCCATGTGGGCTGGAGAGTTATGGGAAGGAAACCATTTACATCCATAGCCATGTGGGCTGGAGAGTTATGGGAAGGAAACCATTTACATCCATAGCCATGTAGGCTGGAGAGTTATGGGAAGGAAACCATTTACATCCATAGCCATGTAGGCTGGAGAGTTATGGGGAGGAAACCATTTACATCCATAGCCATGTGGGCTGGAGAGTTATGGGAAGGAAACCATTTACATCCATAGCCATGTAGGCTGGAGAGTTATGGGGAGG